GGTAACCGTGTCTTGCAGTTGCTCAAGCTCCTTACGTAATGGGTCCACTGTGCTCTTGAGATATTCGTGTGAAACGCCGTGCTGCTTGATGGCCCGGATGTCACTTTTGATCGGCTCCAGATGCTTGTTCAGAATGGCCTCGAAAGCAGCCGCGGTAATACCTGTGCCCGACGCCTCTATGAGGTTGTCTTGGAATCGTTGTTGGCGTTGCTTGGTTTGTGCATCAGCCCCGTCGTCCGGAAGCTGAATTAGATCTGCTGCTGGTCGTCCTGGCTCCGCTGGTCCTGCGGGTTCCTCTTCCAGCCCATCCATCTCGTTCAGCGGGCTACTGACACGTGCCGTTTTTGCTGCACGTGTTGGCGGCGATGTGGGAGATTGCGGCGAAGCGATGTCGTGCCTCTCTGGATGGAACAGCTGTTTGACCGGGGTACCTGAAGCAGGCATGGATGCGGATTCGAAGAGTAAGGGGAAAGTGTAGAGTGAACGCGAAAAGTAGGAGTGAGTGAGAGCTTGAGCTTGAGCTTAAGTGAGAGCTGCTGTGAGGAGACCCTAATCCCGTACAGTAGCCCTTCTGAAAGATCGCGGCGCAAACATTCCTTGTGCAAAGGCTGCTGCAAAAGAACTGTGACTGCGGATCATCTGCGCCATGAAGAATGTTGATTCAATGTTGTGTTTTGCAGATCTTGCAAACTCATGAAACACACCTGGCTGTAATCGTATAAACGGCGGGCCCTTGAGTTCAGGAAAGCTACAGAGGACAACAAGAACAAAAAAGCAAGACACACATTAATCACCTAGCGTTTTCATTCAGGAAAACAAGGATAGCTAGGAATACCTGTCACGTTCTGTAATTTCCTGGTGCGCACGCTCCACACTTATAATCATAGTGTAGCAGCCTTTACACAAACACCTTTTTTTGAGGAGACACTACGAAATGATTATTGTGCGGGATCTGCAGTGGCCTCCACACTTAAAATCCTCTCATCGCAGCCTGTGCAAATGGGATTCCTTTCGTGGCGGCCTTACAGAAGAGCTTGCCGTGCGGGGGATTTCCCGTGGCGCTTTCACGAAGGAAACTGGAACAACATTATCCTGGCGAAGGACCCAACCAGATGCAGTTGCGAGTACCGCAATTGTGAGTATCTTCTTCGATGGCGCTCCCTATGGGGCCACGAACCGTATGAGGGGTGTGCCGAAATGGGCGCGGTGGGCGCATGGGAGCGCAGCCACTGGGGCCTTCGCTGGAGCTCCCTATGGGGCCACGAAGCGTGTGAGGGGTGTGCCGAAATGGGCGCATGGGAGCGGTGGGCGCATGGGAGCGCAGCCACTGGGGCCTTCGCTGGAGCTCCCTATGGGGCCACGTGTGCGCATGGGAGCGCAGCCATGTGGAGCTCCCGCCACGAAACGTGTGAGGGGTGTGCCACATGGGAGCGCAGCCACGGGGCCTTCGCTGGAGCTCCCTATGGGGCCACGAAACAGGGGTGTGCCACTGGGCGCCTTGGGGCCTTCGCTGGAGCTCCCACGTGTGAGGGGTGTGCCGAAATGGGTGCGGGGGCGCATGGGAGCGCAGCCACTGGGGCCTTCGGTGGAGCTCCCTATGGGGCCACGAAACGTGTGAGGGGTGTGCCGAAATGGGCGCGGTGGCGCATGGGAGCGCAGCCACTGGGGCCTTCGGTGGAGCTCCCTATGGGGCCACGAAACGTGTGAGGGGTGTGCCGAAATCTGTGCGGTGGGCGCATGGGAGCGCAGCCACTGGGGCCTTCGCTGGAGCTCCCTATGGGGCCACGAAACGTGTGAGGGGTGTGCCGAAATGGGTGCGGTGGGCGCATGGGAGCGCAGCCACTGGGGCCTTCGCTGGAGCTCCCCATGGGACCACGAAACGTGTGATGGGTGTGCCGAAATGGGTGCGGTGGGCGCATGGGAGCGCAGCCACTGGGGCCTTCGCTGGAGCTCCCTATGGGGCCACGAAACGTGTGAGGGGTGTGCAGAAATGGGTGCGGTGGGCGCATGGGAGCGCAGCCACTGGGGCCTTCGGTGGAGCTCCCTATGGGGCCACGAAACGTGTGAGGGGTGTGCCGAAATCTGCGCGGTGGGCGCATGGGAGCGCAGCCACTGGGGCCTTCGCTGGAGCTCCCTATGGGGCCACGAAGCGTATGAGGGGTGTGCCGAAATGGGCGCGGTGGGCGCATGGGAGCGCAGCCACTGGGGCCTTCGCTGGAGCTCCCTATGGGGCCACGAAGCGTGTGAGGGGTGTGCGGAAATGGGTGCGGTGGGCGCATGGGAGCGCAGCCACTGGGGCCTTCGGTGGAGCTCCCTATGGGGCCACGAAACGTGTGAGGGGTGTGCCGAAATCTGTGCGGTGGGCGCATGGGAGCGCAGCCACTGGGGCCTTCGCTGGAGCCCCCTATGATCGCCATGATGGTGATGATGATGATGATGATGATGATGATGATGCTGATGCTGATGCTGATGATGATGATGATGATGATGATGATGATGATGGCAGGAGGGAAGGGGCAGCGGGAGGAGGAGGAGTGAACGCGGGGCGCTGTCTCTTCAAAACGAGGGCCCAACACCACAGGATGGTTGGGAAAAACTAAGAAGACCTGTGACTGTCTGCTTCTTTTCTGGCGCAGACGCTCCACACTTAAAATCCTGCTGCCGTACAAAAGGATTATTGTGGTGGCGACCTTACACAGCGGATATTGCATGTGGGGGGTCTGCAGTGGCCTCCGCAAGCGGAATCCTCTTGCAAAAGCCTTTAGAAAGGGATTTCTTGTGTGGCGGCCTTACAGAAAGAGATTTAAGTGCGGGGGGATCTGCAGTGGAGGCACCCTCCGCCCAGGAAGGCTGACGAGGAGAACAGGAAACACATAAAAACATACGCTATTTTGTGTTACCGTTGAAACAAACACGAACAAGCCAGGAAGATCTGTGTCAAATGTGCTCTTATGGTGCAGGCGCGCACTCAGAATCGTGTGTAGCAGCCTTTGCACACCTATTCCTTTTGTATCCCTTTGCGCAGGCAGCTACGAAAAAGGATTATGATGGTGGAGGCCACTGCAAATTTTCGCAGTTAAATCATGTTTACAAGGTCGCCACAGCATGAACCCTTTCTGTAAAAGCTGCAACATAAGGATTTTCAGTGTGGAGCGTCTACACAATGAAAAAAACGACTGCCAAATGTCTTTCTGTCATTCTCTATTTCTTGTGGAGACACTACTTGTTTCCTGTGCTTGCTGTTTTTCCTGTTTTCCTCAGTAGCTTTCCTGGGCTCAAGGTGCCGCCACTGCAGATCCCCCCACACTTAAAACCCTTGGGTGAGGCTGCCACACAAGGAATCCCTTTGTAAAGGTTGCCAGGAGAGGACTCCAATTGTGGAGGCCACTGCAGATCCCCCACAATTGAAGTCCTTCTGTAAGGTCGCCACAACATGAATCCTTGTGTACAGGCTGCTACAAACGGATTTTTAGTGCGGAGCGTCTGCACTGTAAACATGCAGACAATCTCAAATCAAATTTCCCAAGCGACAACACACGTATTGCATGTTGTCCGTGTTTCTCCGATTCTCTTCTCTGGCTTTCTTGGGCTCAAGGTGCCTTCACTGCAGATGCCCCCCCACTAAACACCTTTTTGTGAGGTCGCCGCACAAGGAATATGTTGGTAAAGGCTGCTACACTAGGAGTGTAAATGTGTGGCGCTTCCATGAGAGGAGTGCAGAAGAGCTGGGATAACAATGAGAACGATATAAAGAATATCATAAAGAAACAAGCGGTGAATCACCATATGATGTAGCATAGCGTGACAATCAAGTCAACATGAAACTGGTCAAACACTCTCCTGTAATGATACAAACAGCGGGTCGCACCTTGGGGTTTCCAGGGGGTGGTCAGATACGAGTCAAGCCAAAAGCACCATAGCAAGCCAACAGTGCCCCAAGAGGCTCCCGAGACGGTCCAAGAGGGCCTCCAATCGCCATCCGATCGGTCCGAAATACCTTCACGCTCCCAGACTGCCCAGGAGACCTCCAAGACGCCCCAAGAGCCTCCACAGGCATTCCCGAGAGGGCCCCAAGAAGCACAAATCCTTGATTTCCCGTGGGTTCTTGACAATTTTGGGCGTTCTCGCCTTTTCGGCTTCCCGCCGCTCCAAGACGGCCGAAGAGGCCTTCAAGATCGCCCCAAGACGGCCCAAAAGGCTTCCACGAGCGCCCCAGAACATCCCAAGAGAACCCCAAGACAGCCCAAAACGCATCCAAAACAGCCCAAGGGGCCCCCAAGACGGCTCCAAGAGCGTAACTTGACGGAGAACCCAAACCGACATTTCGAGCTCTCGGCCCCGAGTGTTGCCCGAAGGGTTTCCATAACGGCTGGGGGAGCACCATAGTCCGATAGCTTGGCAGAGTTCTGGCACAAGGTTCGGCAACATGGGCGACTCCAAAAGGCAGGGGGTGGCGGTGATTCGCCGGGCGCGTGCTCGGTAACTCCAACGACCGTCGCAAGCTCTGAGTCCTTCTATGGCGCAAGCCACTCGAACAAGCATCGCTCCCGAGGTCTCGACCCCTCGAGAGAACCGCAGGCCTTTGCTTCCAGAGCCACGATCGCTTGCAAGGATCCGCATTACGTTTTGCTTTCAACACCCATGCCAAGAAAGCGACGGCGAGGGCGAATCATGTCATCTGGTGAGGCTTCAGGTTTCGCAGAGACAGCCCCGCTAGGTAACTAGTCTTGGCTGGCCTCGACGACCACCCCGAGTAGTCCGATCTTGCCTCACCAGGCACCCAGTAGCCCAGGGCGGTCTCAACACCTCAACCCTGGGGCGCAGAGCGCCTCAGGGGCGCCGCCGCAAGCGGCGCCAGGGTGTTGAGACCGCCCCCGACTACCAGTGGAGTCTGGTGAGGCCGGCTGGGACTACTCGGGAGGCCTGTTGAGGCCAGCTGGACTACCTGCGGGGGAGGCTGTGCGCAACCCGAAGCCTGACAAGGGTGAATCAAGCCATCCTCAGACGCGCACTAAGGTGGCCTCCTCCTCTTCCCAATTGGCCGGGTGCCAGTCCGGGAGCCGCGTGCACTCCTCCTGCCGCGCCAACCAATCGATGGCCGCCGTCCTCTCTGTTTCCTCCGCGACGCTCTCCGTGGCCGTGGGCAGTGGGCACTCGTTGGGGAAGGCGCCGTGCAGGAAGTGCTTGAAGTCCGCGCTGTGCAGGGGCACCAGGCCATCGTGCCGGGCGGCGATGGCCTCCAAGTCCTGCGTCAGCGCCGCGGGCAGCTCGCGGGGCGCGCTCACGGACGAGGACGGCGTCTGGCCAACTAGGCTCAGCAGCCGCGGGGCCGGCCACGCTGGCGCCTGCACCTTCTGCTCCAGCTCGCTCGTCAGGGCCTCGCACTCGCTCAGGCAGCACACGGAGTAGTACTCAGAGGAGGCGATGCAGTTCGAACGCCCGAGCAGGTAGTTGGCGACGAGCACCTGCTTGGTGCCGTCCTCGGCTTCGTCGAGTGCTCCCGACCGCTGGAGGTACTCGGCCGACTCGGTGAACTGGTAGCTTGCATGCTTCCTTTCAGCATGGAAGACCTCTAACGGCACGCGTCCGGAACTCGTGGACCCGAGCGCCATGAGATTGTCCTTCATCTGAACGCACTCCGAATTCTGCCACTTCCCGAAGCGAAGCGTCATCTCCGAGGCGATCTTGGCTGCCTCCTCAAAGGAGAGATCGCTCTCGCGACCATCGAGCGCAACAGACTCCGCCTCAAACTTGAGAAGTTCCTTCCAGTCCTCCACGTTCCGCGCACGGGCCTTCATCCGCTGGTGGAGGGACACGTCTGTCAAGTTGCGCGGCATCCCCTGGCGGAAGAGAAGCAGATACGAGCGAAGCACCTCGTGGAGACCCTCTTTGTCCAGCCGCTCCTCCACGCTGCGCTCGTTCAGCGCGTACGCGCTGCGCAGCAACGCCGTGGACTCCTCCAGCAACAGGTGCTCGAGGGCGGCGATCGTACCGACGACGTCGCTGATGGAGAGCCCGCGATCGGCGGCAAGCAGACGCTCGAGAGCCTCGGCAAGCTTGGGGGCCTTCTCGCGCAAGACACCTGCTTGGGGCACTGCCGTCACAACTGGCACCATGCTCGGGGGCTCCACGCCCTTCAAGAGCCACCCGTGCTCCTTCAGGAAGTAGGCCCTGACGATGGCAGCGAAGATCTCGTGTGATGGGATCTGGCCCATGGCGTTCTTGGGGAAGGCCTCGTATGTCGGCCGCACGCTGGCCTCGATCGCGAAGAGCCGCTGGGACGGCACCCCACCCAGCAACTCCTGCAAGACTGCCTGGAGCGTCGAGGGGCCCTTCCGGCTGCTGGCCTCCCGGCGCATCAGCTGCCCGGAGCACGGGGTCGCCGAAATGGCCATCGCAAGGAAGAGCGCAGAGCGGGCAAGCATGCTCCCGAACAACACGAACTAGGATGTTAAAACCGTGGAGGCAAACGTGCTCCTGGAGAGGCCTGTAGTTTGACAGCTGGATGTCGAGCTTGCGCCGAAACAGTCACGGACCAGAGCATCAGCATTCCAGGAGCCGCGACCGATGGTGAGAAGGCGGTGGATTTGCGCCCCCGAGGCCAATGTGGACCCACGCTCCCGAGACTACTCGTCCCGAGGTCACGACCCTTCTCAAGACGACATGGATCCACGATCCCGACGAGGCCACGATCCCTTCCCCTGCTCGTCCCCGTCCTCCTCCTCCTTCTCCTCCTCCTCTTCTTCAGCATCATCACCATAATCCCCATCCTGCCCACATGGCCGTTCCTCTTCCCTCCAGGTGCAAGCGAAGCAGGAGCTGGGACTGAGTGTGCGCTCGCCACGTACTGCCTTGAGAGCGCGCTTGCATTCATGGCGATTGCGCGCGTGATGAGGGGGCGGCGGCGGGGGAGGGGGGGGGGGGGCTATATGCGTGCCGTGATTTCGCTCTGCACTGGGCCACGGCGCCGCCCGAGCGTCCGCGCGTACCTCCTGGGCCCAACCAAAGGCCGTGGGCCTGGGCGCCACCCGAGCGCACGCGCACCTTGGCCACGTGGCGACGACGATGACGACGACGAAGACGACGACTGGGAAACGGCGACGGCGACGACGACGACGCAGACGACGACAGCAACGACGATGACGACTGGACGACGATGACGACGACGATCACGACTGCACGATTCCACGACCGAGCGACAAAATGACTACGCAACAAAGACGACGACACAGACGGCGACGACGACTCAGACAACAACGACGACTGGACGACGACGACTGGACAACGACAATGACGAAGACGACAACGACGAAGACGAAGGCGATGACGACGACGGTGCGAGAACGACGACAACAAGAGGCGACGACAACAACGACAACGAAGGGCGAAAACGACGACGACGAAGACAACGGAGACGAACACCACGACAACCAAGACGTTCCCGAGACTCGATGACAGCGACAACGACAACACGACGACGATGACAAATGGACGGCGATGGTGAGACCACTCTCGGGAGTTGACTGGGCGACGGCGACGACGAAGACGACGACGACGCACACGACCAGGACGACGACGATGACGACGACGGCGCAGACGACGACGACGACAACAACGACGACGACGACACAGACGATCACAACAACGACGGACGACGGACGAAGATGAAGACGACGACTGACAACGACGACACCGAACACGATGAAAATTGGTTTGGCACCGACGACGACGCTGAAGTGGGCGACGGCGACGACGACGACTGGGCAACGACGACGACGAATTGGTCAGATCGTTGACGCAGACGGCGACAACGACGAACGCACGATTCCACGATTGCACAACTTCACGACAAAGACGACACAGACGGCGACGACGACGACGACTAGACAACGACGATGACTAAACGACGACGACGACGACGACTGGACGACGACAACGACGACGACGACGACGACGACGACGACGACGACTGGACGACGACGACAACGGCGATGACGAGGACTACTGGACGACGACCTCCGACATCCTCCTCATCCTACTCTTCCTCTTTTTCCTCCTCGTTTTTCTCCTCCTCCAACTTCTCCTCCGCCTCCTCCTCCTCATCCTTCTTCCCATTCGATTCTCGCCTCCGTGTTAGGCGCCTCGGAAGACGAATTGATACCGGACACGTACGTGTTTAGGTCTTCCAGCGTACCGTCCTCTTCGGGCTCTTCCTGCCCCTTTCTTTGCAACGTGTCTGCGAACAACGGCCTTACTTGTGTGAGCGCCCAGCGTGTCTGTGAGAACCCGAACACCGAAAATAATCCTGTGGCTTGGGTACTTCACACTCTGGTCGCCATTGCGAAGCAGTGGCTTGCGCAAGCGCTGGCACCGCGCCGGGCTGAGAACATTTGGTGTACAACTCGCTCGATGCGCCAGTGCCAAGGGCGCGCTGAGCGGGGGGGGCAGTGGCGGGGGCGCTCTCTGGGAGTTTGGGGGCGGCCCTCACGCTATAGGGCGGGGGGGGCTGGGAGGGATGCAGCGGGACGGGCAAGGGAGGGAGGAGGAGACGGGAGAAGGAGGAGGAGGAGGAGAGACACGCACTTCCCTTCCTGCAATCCCACCCTGCCACCCTTGAGGAGATAGGCGGGCACTTTTCTTGTGCATCAGTGCGCCACGTCCTGCGTGCTCGGCAAGTCCGTTGTGCCTGAGTGAAACGACTGCACCGCGCAGGACGATGAGGGCCCGTGGGGCCCAACCGCCGGCCTCGTGGAGGCGAAGGGGGAAGCCCCGCAGATGAATCCAGCCCGTGGGGCGTGACCATCAGCCTCGTGGAGGCGCGAATGGGGGAACCCGGGAGGCGGGCCCAGCCCGTGGGGCGTGGACCGCCAGCCTCGTGGAGGCGAAGGTGCAACCCAGGAGGCGGCCCCGGCCCGTGGGGCGTGGGCCGCCAGCCTCGCGGAGGCGAAGGGAAGACCAAGGTGGTCCCGGCCCGTGGGGCGTGGACCACCAGCCTCGTGGAGGCGAAGGTGCAACCCGAGAGGCGGCCCCGGCCCTTGGGGCGTGGGCCGCCAGCCTCGTGGAGGCGATGGGAAGACCCGAAGATGATCCCGGCCCGTGGGGCGTGAACCATCAGCCTCATGGAGGCGAGTAGCAGGAGCGCGTCAGCGGCGGCGGCCCTCAGTCTTCAGGCGCCGCAATCTCCGCCACCTGGCGAAGCCGCGGCGAGTGAGAGAGCAAATTGATAGGGCGACGGGCACTTTCGACAGAGGTTGGCTCCGTCGGGCGCGGGCGCTTCGCTGAGGAAGGTCGAAAGGCTCGCGGACGAGCCGAAACGCCAGCCGCAGCAGGTGCGCCACGACGGCAACGGCGTGTCCGGCGGGCTCGCGACGGCGTGGATGGTGCCGGAGGACTCTGACCGGACCCATCGGGACCAACCTGCCGGAGGCGCGGAGATCTTGACCTCCGGCAGCCGCGAGGTCGGTAGACCCCGTGCCTCTGCGTGCGATTGCATCGAGGCCTCCAGGTTGGCGACGCGCCGTGCAAGTGGCTCGAGCTGTGCCTCTGGAGGCGGCTCTGAAGAAGAGCTCGCGGTGCGGCCCTGGCCGTCGAGCGGCAACTCAGTCAGCGCCTCTTCAACGTATTCCAACACCGTGCAGGAATCCCAGCGTCCGACCGTCTGGATGCTTGAGAGCGGCCATAGGGATCGCGCGTAACGTTTGGCGCCAGACCGTCTCGCAGAATGGCCTCCTAGCACAGGGTGCCCGTCGACCGCGAGGCGTTGCCAACCCTGGATGACGGCGGCCTTGGACACCGTACCGCCGGCGACGTCTGGGAAAAGCGGCTCTTCCAGCTCGCGCGCGTCCTGGGCGCGAGTGCCAGTGACGCGACGTCGCGCTTCAAGGTGCTCCACCAAAATGTGCACGGGGCACGAAACCTTGTCGAAGGGGCCCAGCAAACAAGTGCATTTCAGTGTGACAGCCGCGCCAGCCCCCCAGGTGTCGGTCTTCAACACGGGAAGGCGCATTCGCACGCTCCCGGCCGAGGGAAAGTCGACGTGCGCAAGCCTTGCTGCCGCCAGTTCGATCTCCCTGAGCAGGAAGCGCGTGGCTACCACCCAGGCGCGCCACGGCGAGGCCAAGTCATGACCAGAAATGCCTTGCAACGACTCCAAGACATCAGTCGGCCGAAGCCCGTCTTCCCGCAACTCAGCGGCCTTGGACTTCGGGCCAATGCCTCGTCGGACTGACCGCTTGCACTGGTCGAGTGCCCGAGCGAGCTGCTGCGATACAGGTGCGCCGCGTTCGATGTGCTCGAGCCGCAGCTCGTTGAGGCATTGTTCCGCAGACTTGAACCGAGCTCCCTTGAGAGCCGCAGCAACCGCATGCACGACGGCGACCTCCAGAGGGAAAGGCGCAGATACGTCCGGAATGGACGACGCCGCCTGCTCGGCCAATCTGCACACGTCAGCCCGCTTGCGGGAGACTGCCTCGCGGGAAGAATTCGCATAGAAATCTTGTCTGAGGGCACCCAGAGCACTCGCGAGGCGCACCGGGTCGCCCGCTATGGACAAAGCTGCGTTGATGGAGCCCCTGGTGTGACCAGCATCTGGAAGTAGAGGCCTAGGGAAGTCACGTCTTTGAAGATCAACGCCACTAGCTCCAATGTCAACGTTGCCCTCCTGGCTGGGGTGCTGCACCAACTGACCGGCTCCTTGGGAAAGGATGCAGTGTGGTGATCTCCCGCGCGGCTGCGCCAGCGGCACGAATCTCGGCAGTGAGTCGCTCGCGGACGCGCCCGGAGCCAGACATGGGATCACAGGAGCGTGGGTGACCACACTCGTGGCTGGCACGCCCGCCCGCAGGGAAGGAGGAGAGGCCGAGAGGAAGTTCCTCCCGTGGGGGGGAATGGGCGGAGATGGGAGGATGAGGAGGAGTGGCAGGGAAAGAAGGAGGTGACGGGAGGAGACGGGAGGAGACGGGAGGCGGAGAAGGAGGAGGAGGAGGAGGAGGAGACGGGAGGAAGAGAGGCCGGAGGGAACTCCCTCCCTCCGTCCGACCTTCCACCTGGGCCCCTCCCGTGGGGGCCAGGACCACCTCCTGCGGCCCCTGGCGGCCCACCCCCCCGCCGCCTGCTCGCCGACGCCGCCAGCGAACAGGCCCCAAGCATCGGGCTCTCCGCGCCGCCTGGTGGTGGTGGGGGGGCCGGCCCCAGCGGCGGCACCAGCCGACCCGAACGCTGAACGCTGCGGGTTTCGGCCTGCTAAGCGGTGCCGCCCTGGAAGGGGCACGTACCTTGAGGAGGCAACTACAGTACGGGCTCGAGCACAAGAAACCTTCCACAAGAAGCCCAACCCTAGAGACCCCAGGACGTCCATTGATTTTTGGTGTCGGAGCGTCACGCTTTCCATCGCAAAACCATCGAAACCCAAGAAACCCAGGGCATCGTGGAGGCAAGCAGGGTGTTTCTTGGTATGGGTCTCCACAATACTGGAAGTCTTCGTCGCAATGATTAAAGAAGATTAAAGCTCCATTGGGAGACTAGTACGTCAGATTAGGCCGCGGATTAAGCGGGATCAAGCCAAATGAAGCGGGCGCAGGCGGGAGTAAGCGAGATTAAGCCCGATTGAACTGGAGTTCGGACCAGGGCAAACTCAGAATTCGACCTCCCAGGAGTTGCATCCAAACCTACCCCTCCTCCTTCTCCACTCTTGTCCTTGCATGCAACTCTTCTCCGTCGCACCTCCAGGCGCGTCGGCAGGGCCGGCCGGGCGCTTCCCTTGAGACTTCCTCACCGCTTCTGGCAACAGAAGCTCGAGGTGCTGCGAAAGCTTCAGGGATGAAGCACGTGACGTTGTTTCATACTCTGGCTCTACCTTTAGCGCCGCGCACACTCATCTTCAAGGTTCGCAGCAGTTTACAAGATGGAGGAAGGCGGTTGTTCCGATTCCTTGGCGTGACAGGGGTGAAAACACGGCCACGGGCACTGTAGTGCATATGTTACAAAGGATCGTGGCTGTGCAACTTGGGTGGGACCACGGCCATTTGCACCGTAATGTCTTTTTGTTAAAGGGATCGCGGCCGTGCGACGGGGGTCGGAGCACGGCCATGAGCACAATGATGTATTTGTAACACGGGACCGTGGCCGCATGAGAAGGGCGAGGGTACGGCCACGTGCACCATAGCGTAACTGTTGCAAGGGATCGCTGCCATGCGAGACGGGGGAAAGCACGGTTAGTGTGCACCGTAGTGCATTTGTAGCAAAGGACCGCGGCCGTTTGACAAGGGTGAGAAAACAGCCATGTGGACAATGTGCACTGTAGTGTGTTTTGCACTGGAGATTGTGGCGGCATGTTCTTTTTTCTCTACAAGGGGCCACGGCCGTCCAAACCGTCAGTGTAGCTGACACTGGGGCGAGGGCACGAATCCTGAACACATTGCGATAACATCGCGAACTGGCCGTCCAGGAAGGGCGTCTCGGGTCTCCCCGTCGCCACTTGTGGGTCTTCTGTTTGGTCCGATATATCCCGCCACTGAAGCCCTCTATCGCGAAACGCTATGCAAAAATATGCAATAAGTACAAAGATGGAGCACGTGCCGATTTCAAAGTGGGCTCTCGCCTTACCGCCGTGCGCCATTGTCGTACAAGGTGGTCACAACTCAAGAATGTAACACGGGTCATTTTCAAATTGGGGTTGTTCACCGCAAGGCCGTGCACAGTCGTTCTCGCAGTGTTGCACAGCTTCCCTGATGCATGACGCGTTCTTATCAAAACGGGGCTTTCGCTTTTGCGCCACGCAATTTTTTCTGAAGTGCTTGCAGCAATCGAATATCAACTTATCTATGGTATATGTGTGCATGCGCGTATGTATGTATGTATGTATGTATCGGTTAACTGCTACATTCGGTGGGGGGCATGTTTGCTACCACGCGCCACTCGTCTAGGCGAAGCTCGAGACACAACGGAGGCCCTGGCGACAGAGGCGAAAGAGGGGGGGAACAAGGCGGGAGGGAACCGAAGAAGGCTATGGAGCCCAAACCCCCCCAATTTAGACGGTTCGTTTTGCAATGAGACATCAAGTCATTTCGCTCACAACCTCCCCGCACACGCACTGACAGGTTAACTGATACATTCGGCGGGGGACACTGTTGCTACCACGTGCCACTCGTCTAGGCGACGCTCGAGACACAACAGGTGCCCAAAGTCCCAGAGAGTAAGTTCACTGGGAGGGCGAGGAAGGCGATAGAAATACGGGCCGCCTCAAGGTCCCTTTGGCGGCTCAGCAAACAGTTCGCCATGCAATCAACCCGTTTCGGTGGGTAGGACGCGGCGAGGGAGTTTCACGTGGCCCCGGATGGGGCCTTGCCCTCGAGGACAATGCGTGGTTCCCCCGAGGCCGAGCAAACTCCCCCAAAACTGCGGCAGCGCCTATCCAGCTTCAAAGTGTCCTGGGGGCCAACGCCGAAAAACAAAAACTTTGTGCGCTTTCTCCCACGGACCCCGAACTGACACTGATCACAAATCCTGTAGTGCATGCTACGTTGACTCGCTAGACGCTTGAACTCGCGCGTGTGTGCCGATCCTAGCATTGATCGGATGTTCTAGCACGAACGGCACGCCTGCTCTCACGAGACACATCATCAAAGCCAGAGCAGCTAAGAAGGTAGCGCGTCCCGCGGCGATCCGATTATTGGTATATTCTGTGGCGTCTGGGATGCCCCAGTGGACGCAGCGGCCAGGCTGTCGGCCTCTGCCCGCCGCCGCGCCCCGCGACGCGCAAGGAGGGCCGAGCGAGGCAGCGAAAACCAAACGACGAGCGATAGCCTTTCGAATTCGACAGATCACTGGGGGCGTGTGAGATCCTCAGCAGGCCGTTCTGGCGATCGAAAGCGCGATAATTAAAACCCCGCCTGAGGGCGGCTTGTCCTATCGAATCTGAGCCAGGCAACAGACCTAGGATGTACTTACGTTGGCGACCTAGTCACCTCACTGGGTAATCGCCCCTGCACATCTGCCGAGAAGTACGTCTTACAGTCGATGTTCGCAGTTGCTCGGAGTGTCGCGCAGCGGGGCATGCAGCAGGGCCAACGACTGCCCTAGCCGAGCCGCCTTCTCGCATCTCTACATTGACTTGGCATGCTCCCACTGACCCCTCTTCTCTATCTCCTCGAGCGTTCTGTAGTGCCTGGCCACATCTATGCTTGGACCTGAGTGTCGAGCTTGGCATGGAACGATGCGTTGCTCCACGCCCAGGTCCTGCAGCGCCATCCGAAACATTTTCAGGAACTGCTGAAAATTGAAATCCCACTCCTTTTCTTCGGGGGCCCCTTGCGCGAACTCGCGGAAGATGGGCGTGGCGCGCTGAAACCTGCCGCTGTCCAGCACCCCCCCGGGCGCCCGCCAGCCCCGTCTTGCTGCGCAGCGGCTTGTTGTCTGGGAATAGGAGCAGCGACCGCCAGCGGCGCGCCCTTGACTGGGCCAGAAGTAGCCCGACACCATGGCGAGCAGGAAGATGGCATCTGCAGCGCCCCACGCGCCACCATGCGCCACGCCAGCCCGCGCCGGAGGGCCAGCGGCCAGGCCCGGCGGATCCGCCCAGGCGCCAGCTTGTGCCAGCCCCGGAGGCAGCGCCAGGCCCGCGGCGTCCTGGACTCGCCCTGCTTCGAGTACTCTGGGAGCCTGTGCATCAGCCTCGCCATCACCTGATCGCCCTCTGACGACTCGTGGCCGTCGAAGAACAGCGCGTTCACGTAGTCCACGAGGGCCTCGTCCACCTGCGAGGGCGAACGAAGCGGACAGCACGGCTCCGCGTCGCAGTGCTCCAGGAAAGCGCCCAACTCCACGCCGCATCGCCTCCTCGCGGGGGCGAACACAGACCGCCGCTCCGGGAAGGTCTGGCCCTCCGCTGCAGCCCTGTCCTGCAGCGCCTCCGCTCCGTAGGCCCGCTTCCTCTTGGCAGCGCGCCTCAGCAGCTCTCTCTCGCGCCTCTCGCCGGCTCGCGCGACCTGCTGCTCGTCGGAGGTGCTGCTGTCGCCGTCGCTGTCGGCCACGATCTGGCGCTGCCAGTCCTGGGGGAGGGCCAGCAGGCCCGTGTCCCGCTCGGGAAGCCGAGGCGTCGGCGGCAGCGCAGCTGCGCTCAGGCGAGCCTTCCAGTCCTGCGACCGCTGGGACGCCGACAACGTCTTCCGGCGGCGCGGCGCCTGGGTCTGCCCTGCACTTGCTGGAGCCGGTCGCGGTAACTGCGGGATCATCGTTCCCGCCTGCTGCTCCGCGGACCGCCCCAGCTTGCGCCGCCGCGCGGCCGCGGGCAAAGGCGCGGGCCTCGGCCCCGCCCGCGCGAGCCCCCGCTGCCGCGCGCGAAGCGAGCTGAGGGTCGGGAGGCGCGGCCCTCTCAAACGGCTGAGCCGAAATTGAATGCGAGGACGTCAGGCAGCACTCAGAATACACAGGGCGAGAGCTGACGCGGACAGAAGAGGCCGAGGCCCGGCGAGTCTGGCTCGACGTGCTGAAAAGCAAACGAGTCCAAAGGACGAGTGGAGAGGGCGCTTCAACTGTAAGCACAGGACTCGCTGGCTGATTGAAAACGAAGGGAGCGCGAACCCTGGGGGGGCCCTGTAGAAGAGACTCCGTTGAAGGTCAAGTATCGAGACGCCGTGAACCGAGGGGCTCCTTGGCCATTTCTTGCCGAAGACTCTAGACGCGTAGTCGGCTGGATTCAGCTCTGGGGTGTTAAGGCCCAGTAAAGCGACCGGCGTGCTGACCCCCCCCCCCTTCGCGAAAGGAGGTGCGTCGCGCTTTCGTCGCCCGTGCGCCGCCCGTGCGTCGGCCACCGAAAAGGCCAGCCGCCCTCTCGAACGTGCACGTCGCCCTCGCAAGGGGGATATTTGGCGAGTGCGCCGCCAGCGCGGCGGACACCCACGGGGCGGATCGCACGCGCGTCGCCCTCTCCGCGGCCGCTGGAAAGGCTGGTCGCCTTCGGGAAAAATAAAGTCGCCCACGCTGCAGCCCTCTTGGCGAGAAGAAGGCGGCCGCTGGGCTACCTCGGCAGATCAGCAAATCCCCCTAACATTACAAATGCAACGACGCTGCTGAACGCAGCCCGGCGATAAGCCAGCAGGTCCCCGCAGCCGCCGCCACAGCCGCTGCAAACGCCGCCAGCGCCAAAACTACCGCCGCCACGATCACC